GACATAAACAGTCACACCAGACACTATAAACTTTAGTCTCTCTCTCTTGCAGAGATACAATAGTGGGTCTTTCCTCTACAACCGTTTGAGAACTATCCCACCGCTGCCACCAAAAATGTAACAGACGCTTCAACTATCTGTTAACCAAACTTTATTCTTAATCAACACGAAACTCACAACTAAAACACAACTAACACAACACACTTATATAGATATTATAAATGTCCAGAAGGTTCTATAACATACAAGAATACTTTACATGATTGTTCTAGAATACACTTGAATAAACACATAATATATAATTACAATAGTACACAGAGAGTTCCGGGTCCATCTAGAAACAACTTCTTACAATGGTATAACTATCATAGTTTTCCTCTATCATAATACCTTTTGTCATTTTTTGTGTAGAAGAGAACAAGAAACTTAAAGCTAATATAGCCATGCTGACAGAAAAGAAATTGCAATTTGAGAAGATAATTGACATTTCAACTGGTAATACTATCAGTATTGCTCTATATAGTGTATACTTTTCATTAGAAGAGAATAAGAAACTTAAAGCTAAAGTTGTTGATAATGAAATGGTAATTGCTAAACTGACAAAAGAGAATGATACTAAGAGTATTCAATGTGTTTACTGGACTAAAGCAGGTTACCGTATAGCAGGAAATTTTGGAGGGACTAAAATTTGGCCAATTGCTAAATGTTGGTGATTGGCGGATTTTGATTTGGCAAATTGTGGCCATGTGCCATTAAGCATGCGTAAAATGGCGGGTTTAATTTTGGCGAATGGCTATCAAAACGCCAAATTCACCAAATTTAATTCCCTCCAAAATTTCCCGCTATACAGTAGTCAGTGTAGTCTATTGTTTAAGTATTAATAATAATCTGTTATTGTATAGAATTACCATTTGATGGTGTGGTAACATTGGGTAAGAAGGTGTGTCTTTATAATGCTAACAGTAGTCTGAGTTACAGTTGGATGAATGTGGTCTTACCCTCTCTCTACCTGATGGAATC